CACACACACACAAATAAATAAATAAAATCCAGTACTACAGTGATTATCACTATGTCATATCTCAGGAGCCATCATAGACAATTGCAAAACAAATTCTAAATTTTTACCAATATTTCTAGAAAAATTGTATTTTGGAGTTCCTTTCTACACTATGAGAAATTTAAGTTCTTTATGGAATTCCAAACAAAGCTCTTGGTTATTGCAAATGTATTCCGTCACTCCACTGCTGTTGCTGAGAAGAATAGAGTAGTTATCTTTCGACTGAAAGTGCTGCATCTGACTGACTTTCAAAATGGTTATCTTTTCTCTTTGTAAATAAGAAAAAATATTACTTATGTAAATATCTCAATAATAGGACTACAGAATTCTTTTTGAACTCCAAATTTAACAGGCTCATTAGGATGATTAAAATGGAATTGCTTACAGAAACTTAGGAAAGGGGAAATTGTAAGATATTGTGTCATAATTTTTGTTAGTAGCCACAATGATGGGTCCAGTACTTAGGTCAGTGTCTGGTGTTAAGTGACTTTGAATCACAGAAGGTAAATGCTGGAATAGCTCTCAATTTGATGCACTTCCCCCACACACTCCCACACACACAATGATACTAGGAATTGAACAAAGGACCTTAACGGTCAGCTACATTCTGCCTCCTACCTCTCCTTTTATTTTCTTTTGAGACAGGATTTTGCTAGTTTCCTAAATTGCCTATGTTGAGCTTGAATTTGCAGTACTTCTGCCTCAGCCTTCCGGAGCACTAGGATTACAGGCCTGTGCCAGCACCAGTGCTTTTTCTTTAAAATTTATAAATGCTCCTTTAATGGAAAAGGATGCCTGGTTACTCTAAAACTGGCAAGAGTAACTATAATATAATAGCATTTTTTGTGTGTATTGATTTATTCTTGAGTCATTTTTTTAATGTTTTATTTATTTATTTATTGGACACAGAGTCTCACAATGCAGTTGAGACTAATAGTGATCCTCCTGTCTCAACCTCCCCAGCACCTGGGTTACAGGTGTGCACCACCACGCCTGGTTCCATGCCAAGGTTCCAGGGCCAGCATGGCACACAGTACCAGGGATCAAACTCAGGTCTTTGCACTTGCCAGGCAGGCACTTAGACCACCAAGCTATCTCCTCAACCCCCTTAGAGTCATTTTTATTTCCAGAAAGAAATAGTGATTTTCCCTTTCCAATAGTAAATAGGAAACTCTCTTTTCATCTAGTTTATTTAACAAAAGATATAAACAATTTCCAGTAAACAACAGTAGGAAACTACATATGTGGAAAAATTATAAAATGTTAATAACTAATGTTTTGCAAATTGCCTAATAGTGCTTTGATGTTCTGCCTCAAGGAACAGCACAGAAGTCCCGGATAAGAGTCAGTCCCAGGGAGAACTGAAGGGTGTGGTCTGGGGGATGAGGAAAATCACTTTTTACTTTACTCTTCCTACAAGGGCATAGAGTGACAAAATCAGACGTGATTTTTTAAGTAGCTATTTAATTGAATCAGGAATGCTTTAGCAGCACTTTGCTTTAAATGTACTTTCTTTAAAAAAATGTTTCTTGTTCTAGAGAAAAATTGTGCCTTGTTTAAAGTTTTTCACATGCCTGACAACTATGTTGTCTTGAAACCAGTATATTCAGCTATTTCTTTAATATTTCATTCCATACAAGTAATTGAAGAAGTTACTTGTAGCTTCTGATATACTGTCCTTTAGATTTGTTTCTGTCATCTCATAAACCATTTCTTTTATTTATTTATTTTTTGGCAGAACTGGGGATTGAACTGAGGCCCTTGTGCTTGTCAGGCAAGCACTTATTCTACTGAGCCATCTCCCCGGCCCCTCATAAACAGTTTCTCTTGGTTGAAGGAAATAAATATCTAAGCAAATACAGCTATATGTTTTTGCCCATATCTATGCTAAGTACATGCTACAGAATGAAAGCTCACTTCCTATTTCATCTTCTACAGATGAAACTTGGGTATAAACACATGTGCAGTTGAAAAGCAGTCTGTGCTGAGCATTTGCTTATTCTAATAATTACCTTAGATTAGCTAAATGCATATGACCTTCACCTGAATGAAACTGTAAGAATACTTGTATATCTGTTTCTCTATGTAGGTATAGCCCTCTAACACTTTTGCTTCTGAAAACAGTATTTTTTTTTTCAAATTTTGGGATCAAACCCAGCCCTCATGCGTACTGAGCAGGACTGCACCACTGAGCTAGTAGAGTATGTCTAAAGATTTATTAATTATTTAAATCACTGTCCAGCTTAAAACATCGTGTTGTATATTGTTGTTTTTTGCTTTTTGGTGCTGGGAATTAAACCTAGGGTGTTATGCTTGCCAGGCAGGTGCTGTACCACTGGCTACTTCCCCAGCCCTACTGTTGTTTACTATGTTTAGGTCAAAGGCTTGCTACCAAGATTGAAGGAAAAAGTTGATCTTCTGGTATTTAATCCTCCCTATGTAGTGACTCCATCTGAAGAGGTAAGGCATACAGTAAAACTATTACTACTATCAGCTATTTTGTTTCTAAAATAAAATTAACTTCATCAGATGACATCAATCAGTTACTGCTAACACAAACTGCTCTGATTTGATTCTGATTGTCAGTATTCAGATACTATTGGTACACACAGGAAAGGAACCTAAAACTAACAGAAATATACACTGTGATTCATGTGTCCTTGACATCCTCATCCAAATCAGGCTATAATATTTAAATTCATGTATTCATATGTCTGCACATATCTGTTTACCTATTTATTTAACCTTCATCATGAATAGCAAATTTATAACACAAAATACTCCTTTCTTTTAATCAGCTTCAAGTTCACCTAGGAATTTGTTTTGAAAGTCTCAGGTTTCCTTCTTGCATAAGTATTACCAGAAAGTGGAAGATGACATCAACTCTCATTTTAGTTTTGGAAAATAAATCACAGAAATATGTGACTTTTTAAATCTTGATGGTGGGGCTGGAGAGATAGCTCAGAGGCATAAAAACCTACCTAGCAAGCACAAGGACCCAAGTTCAGTCCCCAGCCTACATGCCATGTGGTCTTGGCCCCGGATGTGGGTGCCCACCATGCAGCCCTGGAACCGGGCATGGTGGCTTATGCTTGTAATCTTAGCTCTCAGGAGGTTGAGCCAGGAGGATCTCTGAGAGTTTGAGACCAGGCTAGAGGCTACAAAAGTGAGCAAAAGGCCAGCCCAAACTGAACTGCATAGTGAGACCCTGTCTCAAGACATAAATAAGTAAATTTTGATGGTACAAATGTAAGCCATATTAGCCTTTTCCCAGGAAAGGTCAAGGCAGGCAAAGTTTAATAGTGAAAAAGGTGAGCTTTCTGCTAATTATTGTGCTGATTTAGTTCTCTGATGATTATTTTCTTGCAGTGGTGATAATCATTACACTCACTCTATGCCATTTGACTGTTGTTATTCCTAGTGCAATTAGGCAACAAAAAGGCTGTTGCTATATTGATATGTGAACTTGAGTAAGAAGGAAAGAAAGTATTGGACAAGGTGAATAGCAAGGTGCTGCCATAAAACAATACCACTGACAGGATAATTTATAAAGAGATGTATTTCTCATAGTTCTGGAGATAAGTCCAACACCGAAATGCCCACATGTGGTGAGGGCCTGCTTGCTGTGTTATAATGTGGTAAAGTCTGTCACATACCAAGAATGAGAGAACATTCATAAACTCAGATCTCACTCTTCTGCTTCTGGTAAGCCCCACATCCCATCATGGCACTCCACTCTTATAACTATACCTAGCCCTGTTTTCTTCCCCAATAACCACTGCAGAATAACATTTATATATGAGTTTCGGGAGTGAATTTCTCACATAAGAACTTCAGAGACAGAGATTTCAATCATAGCATGAAAAAAAAGATAACTTAAAACTCTTTAGGAAAGCACTATGAGAATATTGAGTGACAAAAATATTGTAATCTGATAATCTCAATCATTGAGACCTAACTTAAAGATCAAAAGAATAAAAGGTGAAATTTATAAAAATGCTGGGGCCTGGGAGATGGCTCAGTGGAATAAGCGCTTCCCTGGCAAGGGCAAGGGCCTGAGTTCAATCCCTGGTTCCGCCAAAAAAAAAAAAAAAAAAAAATGCTTATAACTTTACTTCTGATGGAAAATAATGTGAACCTGTATATATATAACAGAAGAGAGACAAACAATGGACAGTGGGGAAAATAAAGAATCAAGTTATATCATGTACAGGTAGAAAGTTCCTGTGATGAATGTGATCATATATAAACCTAAAGTGTACAATAAACTTAACAAAAGTAAGTCATGGTCTATCAGATTTGCAAATTGGGATGAAGAGGCAGGGGAAGGCACTTGGTGGTCTCAATGAGCACCCTTTCCTCTCATGTTTTCAGCACTAAGATATAAGCACTTTCTGGGCCTCACACACAGGAGGGACACACAAGTCACTCAGCATAGGCAGCACCTCTGGGTTTTCAGCCCCATGGGAACTATTACTAGCATGATGGGCTGAGCACTCGCTAAAAAGCAGATTAAAAAAACAACAGAAAAATGGTGTCCTGGAGCTTAAAAATAGATTTCATAAAGCGTTAGGAAATAAATTAGAAGAGCATGTGATCACTGTTAAGACTAAAATCAGTGGTTTGGAAACCAAATGAAACAAGTGTTTACGCAGAGCACGAAGGTAAACTAGAGGAAATCACAAAGGTGAAAGATAAGGGATTAGATCCAGGAGACGTAATGAGTAACAGGAACTTGTACTTACAAAAAGTTGTGGCTGTATTTGCTGTGCAGCTGGAGATATGAAATGAGGTGCTACTGCTTTAGGTGTGTGCAAAGAATCACGAGTGGACACAGTAGTTGACGAAGTAGTGGGCACACAAGGCCACCAAAGAAGATTGTACCATTTTGAAGGGCATGTGACCTTCCTAGAGGAAGCACATAAGCCTGCCTGAGCATCTCTGGGGAGGCCAGTGCCCGATGGTGTTTCTCCAGGGCTATGTCTAGTGTAAGCAAGTAAGCATGGCCAAGCATCCCTAGAGAACCATATCACAAAGGAGCCCTAATCCATGTTCAGCAAGAGGGACAAGACAAGCCTGGCAAAGGCAAGCCGCAGAGAGTCAGTTTTGTTGAATCATCCAGAGAATGGGTTCCTCCAAAGTAAGGGAAAACAAAGGAAAAGGAAGCCTGGTCAGTCCCAGAAGAGAGAATTTGACCCAAGATGAAAACAGTACCAGGAAAAGGAAGTCCTAGAACAAAAGTTTTCATTAAAAAATTAAGAAGTTGCTAAGTTTCTTAGTATGACTAGCATTGTTGGAAAATGGGTCGGTAATATAGCTCAGTGGCACAGTGCCAGCCTGGCAAGTGCAAGGTCCTGAGTTCAATTTCCGGTTCAAAAAAGAAAAAAAAGTTATAATTAGTGAAGTGCATGATAGACGTAGGACTAAAATTAGATTCAAAGAAAATCAGACACAGTGAATGCCAACAAGTTAAATAAAATATGATACTTTCCACTATAAAGTTTTATACAGCCATTAAAAGAATCAATTAGAATTATACTGGAGAAAATGAGATTTCCATTTGATACCTTATGAGAAAAGCAAGATGCAGATAGAAAATATGAAGAAAAAGAAATTTTAATGGTTAAAAAAAAGGTATGCATATAGAAGATGGGCAATACACATAATCAAAACATGCAGCTTTTATAAAAGCTGTATAAAAACATTTTCCTTTGTAAATTAATGTATGTGTATGATTATAGACATAAGAGAAAATATTAGCCATGTTTAAAAGCCAAAGGCATGATTATGTATAAAAAACTAAAATATGGAAAAATGCATAGAACAAAATAGAAAATATTTATGTTGAAGTTAAGTAATTTTTGACTGATTTCTTCAAAATACGCTTTAAAAAAAAAAGAAATTGTATATAAGTTAAATTGCATTATTTTAACCAATATGAGTATATTTCCGTAAGCATAGTTATATTGAAATAAAGTTGTAAAAAAGCAAAAAAAAAAAAAAATACGCTTTAATTTTGATTATAATATATAATGGTATTTATGTATTTTGTGTATGGATTTTTTTCTAATACAAGTTTCTAGTTCTTTTAGTATAGAATTATTCATGTCTCTCAATATGAAGTATTAAGTCCTTAGTGTACACAGTTTGCAAAGCTTTATATTTTCTAACAGTTAATAAAAATGTTTTTTATAACTTTTCTAATTGTACAGATTGAACTATTAGTTTTCTAATTATACAGATAAAGGAAAAAACTAATCCACAAAGATAATTATTAATTTGCTGAAGATCCCAGAAACTAAGAAATTTTGATACTTCAACCTTACTCCCAGCAGTAAAATACTCTGGTGATATGCTCTGTCAACAAGATAATCTGTGATCTCAGTGAGACTTGAGTCAAAAAGAAACTCTTTGTAATTGATCACAGGTAGGAAGTTACGGAATAGAAGCAGCTTGGGCTGGTGGCAGAAATGGTCGAGAAGTCATGGACAGATTCTTTCCACTAGCCTCAGATCTACTTTCTCCAAGAGGATTATTCTATTTAGTTACCATAAAAGAAAACAACCCAGGTAATACAGACCAACTTATTGTTTAACCATTTACTTTGCTGAAAATACAAGTAAATAATGTAGAACACTATGGTTGATAAAGTAATGGATATTCATGAACTTAACTGACAATACAGAAATGCATGTTGAAAAAGAAGACACGTTTTAAGAGGAAACTTGTTTAGGTTTCAGAAGTATTGTCTTCAGCCAAGCTTCAGCCAGCCTCCAGAAGCTGAGGCAGGAGGATTAAAACAAGTTCAAGACCACTCTGGTCTACATAGTGAGTTAAAGGCCAGCCTGAACTACATACATAGTAAGACCCTGTTACAAAAATACAAAAAATTAAAAATTATTGTCTTCATTTTTGGAGTGAGTAGTTTTTCCACTCATACACTAATATTCAAACACAAACTACAGTTTCTTCTAACCCTTCACCCTCAACATTGTAAATTTTTTTCTCTATGCTTACACCCTTGAAAACTCTGACACATACTCTTTAGTTCATCTGAAATTTTATTACATTAGTGCTCTTATTATACAGATGTTTGTATCTTGGTTTTCAGATTACTTTATAACTTGACCACGTGGTTTCTCTTTCTGTATACCTCGAGTTTGATTTTTTTTCTATCAGCCCCCTAGATCACACAATCATGATTACTACTTTTCTTCTTCCTTTCTCTTTCCTTCTTTCCTTTTTAACTGCATTTTCTTGGTTTGTTATTTTTCGTTTTATGTATAAAAAGGTTTGCTTTTGTTAACACACCCAAAAGAAATCAGCTGCCTCTTTCTCATTGGCTCTCACTGGACAGTGTTGCCATTCATTTGCCCATACCTTTCTTGGCTTTTTCACCTAGAGGGAAGGGTATGGGAAAAGATTAGGCCAGACAACTAGCACATTTATCACTGGCAGTTGTAACAATTGCCATTAATGTTATTGTTTGCCCCAAAGTAGGCTACTTCAAACTCAGCCACTTGGTCTGATTATAATCTTCAGTCCTCAGGAACATCTTAAAAGTACAGTATTGCCTCTGTCTAGAGTTCATACTACTTTGTTTTTATTTTTCTACTTTTTTTTTGTGGCCAGCTCAGCCTGCCCCCTAGGGTGGGGCTGGTGTGGCATGTGGTGCTAGGAGATCAAACCTCGGTCCCTACGCTTGGCCTAAGCTTGCCTAAGCAGATGCTTTAGACCGCTGAGCTATCTCTCCAGCCCCTGGAGTTCTTTACTTTAATAGACATTTACTTGACTTACATTATTTCATCAGACTAATATAATTTACAAATTGTGCTTATAGACTTAGTAAAATATTTAGTGATCTTACACATCACCTAATGATGTCATTAATCTTTTTAAAAAATTATTTAGAAGAAATTTTGAAAACACTGAAGGCAAAAGGTCTACATGGGACCACTGCACTTTGCAGACAAGCAGGTCAAGAAGTCCTGTCAGTCCTCAAGTTCACCAAGTGCTGATACACCAAGAGATAGTGCCAAGTGTGCCAATAACTCTGGAAACTGAATGCATTCGGTGTATTTTGAAACTGAAGTCATTTCTCTGAAGAAATTTCATCAGAAATGTATTGTCAAGAAAGAAGTAGGAAGTTGGTGCATCCCTCTCATCAGAAAATCAGGCCTACAGAAATGTTTGTACACATGCAAGTAAAGACGTGCGGTATATTCATAATTTTAATTTTATATATGAAGTTACATATGAAAAGATACTCTGGGGCGGGGGAAATGGCTCAGTAGAGTAAGTGCTTCCCTGGCAAGCACAAGGGCCTGAGTTCAATCCCCCGTTCCATCAAAAAAAAAATAATAATAATAAACAAGAGCAGTAGTTCTAATAGCAAAACGAGAATGAATCTAATGTGTCAGGAAGCCAGTTAGTGAAGATAAATTACAGTTTCACTAAATAGCCATTAAACACAAGTAGTGTATTAATACTGAAGCAGAAGAGATCTGTAACATACCATTGGTAGAAAAGAACAGATGTTCTATGCTGTATATATATTTTTTAAAAAACAATAGAGACCATGTGTTTATATATGTATAAAATTCTGAAAAGGTAATAAGAATGAAGAACTTTTGTGGTAGCATTTGTATTTATACAATGATAGTTGGAGAAAGACTGTCATTGGATTACCAAGCCAAGTGGTTCCAGTTGCAGCTGGTGTAACAGATGTGGTTTCATTAAATTAGCACATCTCTTGGTGCCTGTTATAACCTGGCAAATGGCTTTTTCTCCATACCAGCTCATAAAGGCCCAGCAATGTGCCTTCACTTCATACCTCCAGTATTATCTGCTCTCCAGACCTAGGTCAAAATATAGTTGGAGGGATCTTGATCACTTTCTCAACTTAATGTTGAGAAAGCCTATAACAAGGTAGGAAACCTGATTAAATACAAGGGCCTTCTACCTCAGTAAAATTAGTGGAGCACATTAAGACATCCTTTCCAAGGTAAAAATAAACACCTAAAAAGGTTTTAAAAGTATTAACTGCTCCTACAACAAAGAAGGCACCTAATAGACTCTTTGGGCTTTTAAGAGGCAACAAGGGGGCCGGGGAGATAGCTCAGTAGGATAAGCGCTTGACCAGCAAACGCAAGGATCTGAGTTCAATCCCCAGTTCTGCCAAAAAAAAAAAAAAAAATTAAGTTCTAGGGGGCTGGTGGGATTGCTCAGTGGTCTAAAGCACCTACTTAGAACAAGCTTAGCAAAGTACAGGGACCGCGGTTCAATCCCCCAGCACCATATGCCAGCCAGCCCCGCCCCCCAGTGGCCTGAGCTGGCCACACACACACACACACAAATAAAAAAGGGGCCAGGGAGATGGCTTAGTAGGATAAGCGCTTGACTGACAAACGCAAGGATCTGAGTTCAATCCCCAGTTCCGCCAAAATAAATAAATAAAAAATAATAAAATTAAAAAAAAAAAAGAGGCAACAAGTATATATTTGGTGTGTCACTCTAGCCCTCTTAGCAAGTGTCCCAAAAGGTTGCTAATTTTGTATGCAGGGCCCAGAATAAAAGGAATGTTTGAACTGGTGTGTGCCTGCTGCTCAGCCACGTACAGTGTGTGATCAGCAGATTCAGTGATGCTTGAGTGTCAGAGGCAGCAGGCTGTTATAGCCCTCAGCATCCTCTGAGGGGTGAGTTGCCGTTGCAGGCTTTGTGGATTTTGAAGCCGACCCTGCTAATGTCACTACTCATTTGGAGAGAGCTCTTGGCTTTCTACTGGGCCTTAGTTAATTCTCAATGCTTAGCTATGAGTCACCAGTTTATCACATGATCTGAGCCATCTACCATGAACTGGATATTATCTGATCCACCAAACACAGTTGGTGTGCACAGAAATTCTCCATCAACAAAAACAAAAAAGAAAAAAAAAATGCTCATCAAATGGAAACATAAGGGCCAGCCAGATAGCTCAGTGGATTAAAATGCCTGCTTAGGCAGACACAGGGGCCAGGGGTTTGATCCCTGGGCCTGCCATGCTGGCTCCTGTCCCCAGAGCGCACTGAGAGGGCAATTGAGACTGGACATGGTGGTGCACACCAGTAATCCCGGTGCTTGGGAGCTGAAAACAGGATCACTACGAGTCTGATCTATGTAGTGAGACCCTGTAGACCCTGTACTACATACATTTTTTTTAAAAAGGAAATCATTATGGTTGGGCCTAAGTGAGCCCTGAAGGCAAAAGTTACATAAAGAAGTGACCTCTGATGAGGCAGGGAGAATTCTGGGAAGGACGGGAGGGAAAAGGAAAAAAGAAGGATTAAGATGCAATATGTATACGTACCAGCTCCTCTCATTGAATGTACTTATTATGTATGACAAGTGTACTAATAAAAACAAGTTTGAAATCATGAAAAAAATATTATGAGACTTTCAAATTCTCAGGGATACATTTTCAACTTCCCTTAACAGCAGTGCATGGCACATGGTAAATAATTATAAAACACTGGTTACAGGGACTGGTGAGATGGCTCAGTGGTCTAAAGCACCTACTTAGAACAAGCTTAACAAAGCACAGGGACCACGGTTCAATCTCCCAGCACCACATGCCAGTCAGCCCGCCCCCTGGGCTGAGCTGGCCACACAGACACACACACAAATAAATAAAATATTAAAAAAAAATTTTTAAAAAAATAAAACATTGGTTACATTAGTGCTTTGTAGTAAATTCTTTGCTTTTGTTATGTTTAAGAACTCTTCTCTTTGTCCTCAAATGTCTCCTTTTGTCCTCAGTCACTTTCCCACATTCTCCCTAGCTGACCTGCACTGGTTCAAAGGACCACTATCAGATGATCTCTTCACAAGCTCCCTGGACAGTCCCTGCATGGCATGGGGTGTCAGAACCCAGAAGCTTTGAGGGTCTTGGTCCAGTATTTTTGTGCTGTTTCCATTTGTACTAGGTTACCCAGACCCTCCAGCCTCTATAGGTCCTTTCTGTATCTCCGATAATATCAGGCACTGCTTTGCTCCTGCAAACTGAGTCAGAATGCTTTAAATCAGGTTTAACTACACTGAACTGCCATCCTTATTTTGCTTTGTGTTACTTTGTATACATACATGTGTGGTTCTTCCATACTCCCTTATATTACTTACATTATGTTTATAGTACAGCATATAAGTATCATTAACTTTACATCATAATAATTAAAATTGTAGGATATCAAGGGGGAAAGTGAATACTCAAGGACTTTACCTGTCCTGGAAAAGGAGTTACTGTGTTTTCAGTTCTAGATAGGATAGTTGTCGTGTTAAATGAAATTATGATACTATTTCCTTTACTGAAAAATACGGTTTATTGGACATTAAGCATGGTTTAAGAATATGTGTATTAATGACAGATTGGCATGGGGTGGACCTGTAATGGTTAATTTTGTATGTCAGTTTCAATACAAGGTGCCAATTAGCTGTTTAAATATTGTTTCTGCATATGTAAGGGCGTTAATGAGTGAATTAGATCTCTGATACCTATTGGAACACTTATGGATTGGATCTGAACTATCCCTCCCAAAACCTGTGTGTTGTTCTCATTAAAATGGATAAAAAATATACAGGATGAATAAATAAAAAATAAATAAAAAAGATCTGAATAACTACTATGAAGACAACAATATGCACTGTATTATTATAACTGTCCTACTGACCTGTTTTGAATCTGTTTCAGAGCTATTTTCTTTTTTCTCATTAAAATGGATAAAAAATACATAGGATGAATGAATATAAATATAAAAATAAAAAAAATTAAGAGAAAAAAAAAAACCTATGTGTTGAAGGTCAATAACTGATGGTGCTATAAATTCCAAAAGCGGGGACCTAGCTGGAGAAAGTGGGTCATGCAGACATGCTCTTGAAGGAGACCTTGGGACCCTGCCCCCCCGCCACTAGCAACTATGAGATAAGCAGATTTGTCTGCCATCTGCAGCCCACTCTGACATTCTGCCTCACCACAGGCCCAAAGGCAGTGGAGCCTACAAAGGATGGGCTGAAACCTCCAAAATAATGAGCCAAAATAAATCCTTTTAAGTTGTTTATCTCAGGTATTTTGCCACGGCAATGCAAAGCTAACACAAACATAACTGACAGAAAGTTTTTAAATTTATGGGTAATTAAAAAATTTTAAATCAATAAAAAATAAAATCTTAACGAAACTCCAAGATTTGAGGCTTATTTGTAGTACTTTTCTGTGTTGTTTTGTTCATATTTTAAAACTAGAATGAGATAGCAGTTGACAAATTCTGTTTCTATTTTTGCTTATATGAAACTACTGAAAACTTTTCATGTAAACAAGTAGATGAAAGAAGAGTTCCATAATGATGCAGCTTGTTCCTCTGTGTCACTGTATTCATTAAAATTTGTGAGTAATAATCGCAATAGTAAAATAAATTTTAATGATTTATTGGCTGACAGACTGATTAGACTTTGAGTGCAAGCAAAGAACTGAAAACCAGTTGAGTTGCCAAAAAAAAAATTGTTAGACATTACTAATGTCTATTAATTGTTAGACATTATTCCCTTTCTCAATATAAGTGTGATCAAAATAGAACGTTTAAATTTCTTAAAATTATATTACAATAAAAGACACTATTATTCCCCCTCAATATACATTCCTTTCATTCTTGCAACTTTCTGAAGCAATTCTAGGAGTTGTTTTTTCTGAGTGTATAATTGTGCTATTGTGACTTCTTTGATGTCCTGAATGGGTTCAAAATACTTACCTTTTATGGTCATGTTGACTTTAGGGAAGAGTCAGGAGTCACATGGTGCCAGGTCCAGTGAGTAATGCTTTTACAAGCCCGCCTTCCTGTTGGATGGCGCTCAGCAGTGTACTTTTTAACATACATCAAACACAAAAGAGGACTTCCAGAACTACTTCAGAAAGTGACAAGAACAATAGGATGATGAGTGCTTGAAACGAGGGGGAACATTTTGAGAATTAATGTCAGTGTGTCTTTTACTGTAATAAATTTTTAAGAATTTAAACAATTGTGTATTTTTATCACACCACATACATTATTTCGAATTACCTTCCTAGACTTCAAGGGTTTTGCTTTTCCCATTTTCACTGTAAAATTGAGTGGATAAGTTACATCTTCCTTTTGAAAGACAAAGACCTGTAAAATCATGTGAGAAGAGTGAGCTAGCCTCAGAAAAGTATATAAATGGGAAGACCACATTTTGGAAAGCGTACATCAAAAGTAGAGGAAACAAAAATGATTAATTTTTGTGAAATGTCTTAAACCAGGTGCAGAGGAGCATACTTGTAATCCCAACACACAGCGGGCTAAGGCAGGAGAACTGTGGATTCAAGGCCTTGTCTGAAAACAAACCAAATATGAAAACAAAACCCAAAACAAAAACCCAAAACAAAAAGACTTTTAGTCTTGGTGTGAACCATTGTGCTAAACTCTGTTCTCGAGAGAAGGGCATGGTAAATATTGGGTCTAGGATTTAAGAGTATTGCTGCTAATGAATTAATAAGCAGCCATTATGCACATTGGCCAGAGTTTAATTTTATTTGAGGGAGAGTTAATACGAAGCCCTTTTTTGGGGGGTCCTAGACTTACCAATAAAGACACAAAGACCTGGCCAAAAAAAGCTTCAGTCCCAGTACTAACTTGTAGTTTTGCTTTCTTACCCTATAGCAAATTGAGTATCACAAAGTTCCTAATGGTATCTTTTGTGAACAAAAATTATCTTAAAATGTACAATATATCCAAAGTAAAAGTCCTAAGTTAAATTCAAACTAAAATATACAACAGAATCCCTAAACCAAATCTAATATTAATCTTGAACTTCCAAAAGCATTTCCTAAAATTAAAGAATATATTTTTATGCATCCCAAGGTTAATTGCTTTATTTTTAGTTGTATTTTTTTATTTAAGTTTATTGGTACAATAATAAAACCCTGATTGCACAGGAACTGTCACAAAGGATCAACAACTGGGATCTTACTAAAAAGCTTTGGGGGACTGGCCTGATAGTTCAGCAAACTAAAGTGCCTGCTTAGGCAGAGCACAGTGGCTGGGGTTTGATTA